TTTTGTTTACTTCTCTTTTGGGTATGGCGAAAAGAAAAAAAGATTACAGATTTTTCGAAAAGATTTGAAATGTTGATATAATAATAATGACCTCAGATTTACTTGATTTTATACGTTCCATAAGTCTAATCATTCCGGACTTATATGGAATACCCAAGGTGCCTAAGCTCGGATACGTTTAACTCACCCCACGAATGAACAGGTCAATGGTTAGCGCAAAAACTGAAACCATCTAGGAAGTAGGTATTTATACAAGTATCTGTATGTGATACATTTCAATCTGTCGATAACATTAAGAATGTCAATACTTTTTAAAAACTCATGTTTTGCCTAATATTAATTAACTGTTAACTAGCGTACAGTTAGTAGAAGCCATACGTTACATATGTAACTATACTGACTTTCATAATATAGATGTGGGCTTGTAGATGAACTGATTGAGAGAAATATTGTTATATTGTGCTTGAAACATCCAGTTCTGCTTCACTAATCAACTATATCGACAACGATGATTGGGATCTTAAGCGTTGTTTCAAGCCTAAGCTTCAAAACGATCATCTTGTTTCTGTTATCGAGTGATTTAACCTGTACAAAGTACATATGAACGACACATTTGACACTTTTTACGAGTATGTTCAATTAGTTGACATTTTACTTTCAGCATTTTTTATAGTCCCATAGATCTCACATTCGGAAATGAAGCAAGCTATTCCAATTTATTTCTTGATGTGCTTTTGACAAGATGTAGTGATGGATCCCTAAAAAGGTTCTTTTAAAAAAATAAACCATGAAACGGTCAGCTAACCAACTTCTATAGCAGGGTTTCACCAAATGAAAAGAGAGATCTTATTGACTTCCTACATCACCGATTGCGTAAGACCTCTTGTACTGAATGCATTGAGGAACTTGACTCCTCTAGAAAAAGCGTTAGACAAAAATGCTTATCCAAAACACTTCTTAGCAAGGGACAAGAAGGAAACTCTGAGCATGTTTTCCAGAAATTACATTTGACGTAACTATTTTTAAATAAATGTATAATTTAAATATGATCACACTACTGATATCCTTAAGTATCAGTTGTTTTCAGTAATTGAAACAACGTTCTATTTCAACTTTAAATTCATTTTTTTAGGTGTTTAAGATTAGTATGAGGTGCAGTTAAAAATATTCCCAACTTCTAATGTTAGTCTATCTGATTTAATGTACGAAATGTTTCTTTTCTGGGGAAGAAATTAGATCATTTTATATCAATACTTTTTCCTTTGCTGAGCAAAGAGACAGATTATTTATTTACATTTTCTATTTGTAAGGTTCCACCAAATTTGTATTTTACACTTTTATCTCACTTAAGAAAATAAATTCATTAACAAAAGTGTGATACCAAATATAAGAAGGATATTTTATTGAAGCATACATTTAATTACATACTACTTTACAATTCGAAATGTCATTATATCGTTGTATTTTGTTAATTCGCACAAGTTTGACCTATACTCAACTTCTTATGATCTATTCATGTAATCATTACAAATCACGTCAATCTTAAATGAAAACGAAGATTATCAGAACTGTGTGATATATTGGCGCAATACATTTCAAACTATTTAATCACACATATACTTGTTAAAAATATTTATATATATAAATACACGGCCACTAGACTAGAAATGGAGGGTAAAAGGAGAATAAAGAAATAATGTGAAAACACTTTGAAACCTCATCACTCTGGTACCATTAGCTTATTGTTCAGAGTGATACGGTTTCAAATTGTTTTCACATTATTTGTCTATTAATTTAATAGTTGAATTCATGAGTCAATTGAAACTAGACCACCATGGGAAACCTGAAAGCACTGGACGGTTGTTTCGTTCTATTGTGGGACTCCTCAGCAGTGCTCATTCACGATCCCGCCTCGCGAGATTCGTACCTAGAACATATCAGTCTCTCGTGCGAACACTTATCCTCTAGACTACTGAACCGGCATCCAATGGTGTTTATGCACACTGCTGAGGAGACTCACAAAAGAGCGAAACGGCCGTTCAGTGCTTTCAGATTTTCCGTGGTGGTCTGGCTTTAATTGAGTCATGAGCTCAACTATTTAAATTATTATATTATCCACAAAACCACTTCTGATACTAATTGGACAATTATCTGACCCGTAAATTATTTTCATATTCTGTTCTTACCCCTTGATTATTGTGTAACCTCACTTGATAATATTAGCTACGAATCAATTTATGATGCAATCTTTTTTATCCATCTATAGACATATATTTTCCATATAACTAGAAATACGAATATACAGCTAAAGTAAATGATTTCATCTTTATTTTTGTTCTTAAGAAGTATATGTGTTTAGATTAGATTGTTCGAAATGTATTGAGTTGATATATTACATAGTTCTATTAATCTTTATCATCTTATTACACTATAACATATTGTAGATTATGCGTTATTATGTTTATTGTCAAATTAAATATCAACAAAATTTATTTACTGAAACTAATTTGTATACAACACTGGTTATCGACTCAATGATGTTTAAAAAAAGAGAAGAGAAATAAAGGAGAAAAAAGAAAAGAAAAAACGGACTGATAATGTTTACATTTAATGCTAACTTAAACTATTTGTTTAATCAACTATATTTCTAAATCCATTATTCAGATCAGTGATTAGTAACCTAGTGAAATTCTAGTTATATTTTAAAATAACGACTAGATTTTTTCTTTAAAACAAAACTTAACAGTAATAATTGTGAGTAAATTTAGTTTCTATGTCATATTTTGTTACTAATGACCTATTTTTCTTTTACTACATTGTACTCTGATTAAATCAACAAAATTTACTAGTTTCACTCCATAATTTTAATGGATCTGTTAATTTAATAAATTCCAAAAGGTGTTGATTATTTTTTTTGTAAATGTTTATTCTATAGTTTTAATCATTTATATATTGATCGATCTTTAACAGAGTTATTGTAATGTAAAGAATCCAAACATTATGTTATTACTGTATAGTAATAACCGGTTTGAGTCAATGTTTTATAATTAACCATATAAATATGAAATGGAAAAAGTTCAAATATTATCCTTAGAAAGACTAATAATTTATTTCATGTAGTCAATAGTCTGATGTTTGTTGAAATTAGCTTAATTTTTAGGAAAAAAAATTCAATTTGCATGGATTTTTAAAAAATCTTAAACTTGTGGTTCGTTACAGTATGGTGCCATTTATTGGAAAAAATTATCGGACCAGTCTCAACAGTTGATTAATATCTACAACTCATTGTATGATATCCAGTAAATCCTACTAATTTGTGTACGTGTGTATCTTGATGAGAAATATGGTTCTCTACAGAGATGAATGTTTATCATCAGCATGTTAAGACTTATTTTTCTGGTGAAATTGAAACCGAATCATTCTCATTTTGTTTTTACTTAATTATTGTAAGTATTTTTGAAAACGATTGTCAGTGGTCTAGAGGTTAAGCGTTCGCGCGCGAGACTGAAGGCTCTAGGTTGGAATCTCGTAAGGCGGGATCATGGATGCGCACTGCTGAGGAGTTCCACAATAGGACGAAATGGCCGTCCAGTGCTTCCAGGTTTTCAATGGTGGTTTAACACCAATCAGTTCATAATCTCAATCAGATTGTCTGTCCATTTGTCTGGACCATTTGTTTTCCAGTTTTGCAAATAATCCAGCAAAGTATTCAATTATTGATTTGTTTCACCTCATTAGTTCTAAATGTTAAGCTCATACAAAATAAAATCGTACAACCAAATGTAAAAATGGTTGGCTTAGTTTCTTTTTTAGAATGGCTATAGAGGATTAATTATATTACATTACCAAAAGATTGTTGTAGAAGCGAAATTGTTCGTAGATAATCAAAGAAGATAACCACAATTTCGAATTTCTACTAGTTACTCGAAAATAAAATAGAATTTTTCTTTAAAATACTTTATATTTTGTGCAGAAAATTCTTTACTGATCTGGAACATAGTGACTATTCAAATCATACGAGACGTTTTTCATTAGACGTTTGTGAAAAGTCAGTAAACCTTGAATAATCTACTTCCCTTCTTTATGTAATAAAAACACAAGCCGATAAAAACGATCTTTTCTTACTTTTGGACATCTGTCACAATTAAAAGGTCCTACTTTGCATTGTTTTAAGTGATCAATTATATATATATACATACATATTCACTTCATATATCTATGAGCTTATTAGTGAATTATAAATGATTGCAAACTTAATTACTGAGAAAATTCCAGTAAAACTGTCAACAATGTTGGTGTATTATTCGATTTATCTATTCTTTGATGAACTCTTCCTCAAAATCGTCAAGCGAATGATCTTTCATATTTTATTTCTGGATATTATTTCATACGTATCATACATTGACTACTTTATAACTTTATATCCTCATTTACTTTTAGAACTTTTGTCAATGATACAATGATTCTTTGTTTTTTAATATAAACCACTATATGTAGACGAAATAAATATAAATATGATTGTACAATTTCGTTAAGTGATGTCATTGCAATAGAAAATTTTATTCACTGAAACGTCATCATTTTGTCTAACGACTCAATGGGTTTCTCTCTATGTTTTAAAACACATTCAATCAAAACTATCTTTTTATTTCTTTCAATTTAAAACTGCTTTAACTAAATATAGCATGGTAGTTATTAAGTTAGAGACTTGCTACATCAGGAAATAAAAGTAATTACGAAATGATTAATTGAATAATATTCTTCATTATTAAACTTGTTTACAGATAAAACAAATCGTTCATTGGATTGGTCAGTTAGTGCTCAATGATCTTGTATATGATTGGTTAAATTAACTTGGAGCTTACTAGAAATCTTTAGAACTTTTGTTAAACTTAATTGAAAATCTTTAATTAATATTTTGTTGGATTTTTAAAATTATCATAACACTACAGTACTTTGACTTAAAATACATGAATTAACTGGTTTCATAGGAAATAACAATGTCAGGAGTTGGATCTACATCAAATGCGTCTATTCATCGTAATGCAAATGATGATGGAAAAAGTAGAAGTCGTTATTTTTTACATCATCATGGCCCAGATCATTCTCAAGGACGATCTTTGAGCTCCTTCAAGCAGCATATGTCTAGTAGTGCGTTAGGTCATTTAATATCAAATGCTAGTCAAAAACATCTATCTCGACAACATAAGACAACTCATCGATTTAAATACTCCAGTGCTGGTAGTCTGTCACATAATCAAGTACATTCACATAAGGAAAGCAATAATCATTACAAAACTGATGATAGAGTTTTTGAAGTTCTTCTAAAAGGACATGTTTTTGTACGTGCAACTTGTTCACGACTTCGAGATCTGTGCGAATTCTGTCTACATTCAGTTCATGGTCACTCATATTTGTATTGCAGAAATTGTCCCGTCGTAATTCACAATAAAGATATTTGTCAAGAGCATCTTACCAGAGTGTGTCCTGCTCCAGAAATAGGAGTTACAGGATGGGGTGAAGGTAATAGTTTTCATATTTTCAAATCCTTTTTTTGATAAAGTCATTTTTAAGTAACTTGTTAATTCATTTTGATATTGTTTTCGATAAACTTTTAGCTTATATTTGACTTTGACTCTATATGTAATATTCAAAAAATGAAGCCCTGTTATTCTATCGAAATATGTACAGCTTAAGATTCAACTGTTTTTTCCAGCTCTAATTAAGGACACTATACACCTAAATTTAACTTATGAACAAACCTAGATTTGTAAAGAAGTTTGACTAGCTATGGAATGAGAAATTCATCTCTTGAAATTCATAATCGATGATTTCTATATTGTGAAAAGGCTTTTTACTTAGATACTGGTTGAAAAGCAGTTTGTTGTTTAGTTTGTGTAACTGGTCATATTGTAAAAAGGAAGATAGACATCTGTAAATAATTATGCATTTACAATAATGTGATATGTAGATTAACAGTCATATAGGTGAAATATGCTGAAATAATTACTACAAAGTTTTTCATACAAAGTAAATATCTGAGGTGAATATGCTTCTTGAAGTGTCTACAAGTAGTAGGTATTTTTGAGAAGCCAGTTTTTTAATCAACCATCATCAAGTTTCTACAGTTCTATATCTAGACAAACGATCAATAAGAATGGCTGAGTCTATGACAAATACATCTTTTAAAAGTGCATCACGTCAATTTAGGGTTGTTTATAAAATAAAAAGATTGTTTATGATGAAATAGCTAATATCTAGCGTTAACTTGGATAAGATTATACGTCAAACAAAGTTGTGAGATTAATGATAAAAATAAATATTAATAAAATATTGTTGTTTTGATTATAAATCTAATCAAATGTTTGTTAAAACCTACGTAATGTATGGATTGATAAGAATTTAGTAAGAAATATCAAGGTGGAGTGAATGTTGAAAATAAATCATCTTTAATATTGAGAGACCGTTTCTTATAGTCTGTAGTTGATAACTGTCTCACACCCGCGGTAGATGAACTCCACTGGTCACAGATTTTCACTAGAATCCCTGAAATTACTTGGTGAGGTTAGACACGTTTGAACACGATTATTATAAGTAAAAGGGGTTTATTGAGACTGTTGAACTTTTATAGTTTACTCCGCAGATTGATCTTAGCTAGACAACCACTGAAAACTAGGGAGTACTAGAAAACTTTTCCGTCCTAATATGAGACTTCCCAAAATTTCTCATCCACCTAGTGAGAATTAGTGACCAGTGGAGTACAACGATATGATGTGTAAGATAGTTATCCACTACAGGCAATGGATAAAGATAGGTCATTATCGCGAATCGATGGAAGTTGGACATTAACATCATTGGATGCCGGCTTAGTGTTCTATAAGTTAAGCGTTCGCATTTGAGATTGAAAGTCATTGGTTTAATTCCTGCTGGAGTTTTAGGACATTGCCAAGGTGTCTCATACATAGAACGGAACAGCCATCAAATACTTTCTGGTTTGAAATGGTTGCGAAAACAATATCAACATTTTGTGTTAACTTTAACAGTGTAACAATCTCCACAAATCGTCTGCACAACTAAACTAACGGTGTGTTTGAAAGACTAATAACAATGTTAAATTGTTAACTATAATTACAATAATAACGATGAAGATAATACAAAAATGAACAGAAGTAATAATGACGACAATGCCCCCAAATGCCCTGGTACGGCCGAGAGTGGGGAAAGTCTGCTATCCCTCTCCGAATGCTCTCGCATGGCCACGCATATATAGCCTCTGCCAGGGAAGTCCTACTCATTGCCTTCCCGTGGCATTACAGTTGTTTACGAAATTGAGAGGACGAAAAGCGAATGTCCGGCGCTTTAACCGGGTTGGTGGACATGGAGAGTCCACCTAGGGGAGTTGGAAAACCCTGATTCCAAACCAATGGTGCACATAGGCTCCAGTATCCTGAGTGAACTAATGGCGTATGAATTAATCGTTGGTTACTGGCTACCATGGGACTGCATCCTCTTACGATGCTCCACTGCCTTGTGGATCAGACCTGTAGGTCGAAGGCTCCGGGTGTGGCCTCCTAAGAAAACCACCTGCTTCGGTTTAGGTGCCCGGGCAGTATCACAGCCCCCAAACATATCAAATGAGATTTGTGTGGCGCACATGTATTTGTTGCCTCTCTGTACCGATACCTATGTGTTAAAGTAAATAAATAAAATGAATAAGACTAATTTTAAGTTGTGAAAACACACAATAGAAAGGTTGTATACTCATTATTCAAATTAAGTCATTCTATAAAATAAACACTAACTTACTGAGCTTGGAGTCGACCGGGATAAGAGAAACAGGAAAATATATTTCATTTGCCCACCTAGCTCCAATATTTTTATGCAATGTGTGGAATATATTCAATCATATTTACATCTGAATATAGCATAAATCCTTTATCTGTTTTAATAATGATTAAGAATTTGTTTAAGTTTAATGTTTATGCTTGATGTTACTGATATATAAAGAATGGAATGCAATGTGATTAATTTAATCTAGACCAGCAATTCGCCACTGAAAATGAACCAATTTTATCAATATTATCATGTATTAACTATGATTAATTTTTAAGAGAAGGAATATTTTTTTTTGTCTGATCTTACTTATTTTGGTTGCATATCAATCTACGGTGAAATCATTTAGGATCATTAAACGGAATATTTAGCTTTTTTTTAATGAATCTACTTAACTATGTACTGGCCGATAAACATTTTTATTTGAATTAATGAATACTACAGTTAAGTTTGTCACTGAATTTTAAATTAATTAGTGGTTAGCAATCATATACATATATCGTTTGTTTTAATAATGAAGTTTTGATTTATGAACATTTCATTTAGTGCAACTATAAAATATTTATATTAATCCTGAAAGGATTAATTGTTCCAGAAAAACTCATACAGATTCATTAATGTTATTCCTGGAAATGTGCACTATTAAGTAAATTGGAAATATTACCTATGAACATGTGCTCTTATAAGAAGTTCACTTAATATTTATTAGACCCATGTGGAGTGCTAGAAAGGAGTAAATATGAAACCCAGTAATTTTATTATACTTGTTTGTTAAATCATTTAATCTCTTAGTGTTATAAATTGTATGTTTGTATCAAGCTATTATAGAGCAGTATCAGTTTTGATCAGTTAGACCATAAAAATATTTTGTTTTTGTTACAACAGAGAGAATATCAATGACAACGAAATGAATAGAATAATAATGTTTATGAGACTAATTGATGATACACGTATTATGATGGAGTTTTGTTTTCTGAGCTAAATGGTTTAGCTGTGGAGATTTCGTTGTTCTTCTGAACGACATAATCAGCACAAAATTCTGGTAGAAGTGAAGTGTGTGCTGTTGATATCATTCAGAAGAACGATGAAAGCTCAACGACTAAACCATTAAGCTCAGAGAACAAAACTCGACCAAAATCATCCACCTGAGCTACGAATATTTTCTATCATGGTAAATATATCATATAAGATGACAGAAATCATATAAACAAAAGGCTTATTCATTCCAACTCATTTTATTTGAATGTAAGATTTACACTTGAGTGAATTGCAACACAGGATGTATTGCTTCGATCAAACTATGACAATATATAAAAACGACTTAGTTACACATTAAATTTATGGTATTGCATCTAAAACTGGACAAAATCAACTAAACAACTGCTTTTACTCGGGTTTTTACGAAAGCAATCTCGTTGGAAGATAATTTTTAAAGACTAAAGACATACTTTGATAATAAACTTGAAAACATGGAGGTTTTAATAGAAATTGACTATCTCCTAAATTTCATTAATCAACAGTGAGTCAAAAAAAGCCCAATACTAATCACTGTGCCATAAGAGAATATAGTCCTTAAATTTTCATTTAAAAGAAATGACTTAAAGTCATAGAATAACTGTAGACTGAAAATAATTATTGAAGAGACATATCCAACAATAAAGTTAATCAGCACATAATATATGAAATATATGTTCTTGAAGAAATCTTTATTTATTTTCAGCTGTTAGCCCATATGTACTACTTAAAATAACACAAGTCAGAAGAAATAAAAATAGTTGTACATAAGTCAATCACTTTAATATAAGCCAAGGATTCTGAAAGTAAATAGATCCAGATGGATTTCATACGATACTATTTTATAATCTGATGTTCACCTCTGACCATGTTCAACGTTTCATGTTTCTTTTCACCTTTAACCTTTGTAAATTTTTTATGCTCATCTTTTTTTCACTTAATTAATTATGTTTTACTATAAACTTGTTTATGTGATTATTCATCACATTAATTGTATCATCAATTTAGAAAACGTGTAACCTTAATCACTTGAGATATGAAAGTTCTTACCTTTTTTCGAAACAATCTTGAACCATGATTATTGTCACCATAATTAGGATTGTTTTATAAAACTTAAAGAGAAAATCTTATTCACGCAGCACAAAGTTTGAAGCTTTACTTAAAAGGTGAACAGAATTCTAGCTCTTGTCACTTAACGAACTACAATTTTTCTACTTGCAAATGAAGTAAATTTAGAATATATATTATTTAGGCATTTATATTGTAGTGAAGGAGAACACAGGTGAGGACAATCACATTATAGTTGGCACAAAATTACAGAGTTACTCGGTAATATAGAAAAACCATACTATTATACCTAATTTGCAAAATGTTCAATAATTGTCTCGGACTTCATTGTTCTTGCATTTCCATACTAATTGATTTCTATTCCCGCTCTTTCTTTCTTGATCTACCCCATCTTCTGCTGCCAGACATTACATTCCTGACTCGCGTCATATACTATTTATATCAATATAAGTAGCACGCACCACAATATACTTACTTACTTACGCCTGTTACTCCTAATGGAGCATAGGCTGCCGACCAGCATTCTCCAACCCACTCTATCCTGAGCCTTCTTTTCTAATTCCGTCCAATTCTTGTTCATTTTTCTCATGTTTTTTCTTCATTTCCCG